CAAAAGAGTCAGTGAAGGAGCTACGGGTCGAGGTTGAAAGGTTGAAGGTGGATCACCGGCGTTTAGATTTGCTATTGCATGACCCATCTCCAGCAGCCCAGCCCCAACCAGAGCAGGAGTCATAGAGGCCTCCCAAGAGGAAGAGGGTGATCCCCCGGTCTGATGATGCAGTTATTCAATTGGAGGACCCGCAGAGAGGTTCCTCCACCCAGCCCCAGGAATCAGGCCAGGACTCAGTCCAGGTCCAGGCCTAGGTCCCAGCAGAGCCACAAGTCATAGGGAGTCAGTCACAGGTTCCCGAGTAGATAACGGACCCAGGGACCCAGACTCAAGATCCCATGCAGATGGAGGGCCTATAGGGAGTTTCTTTTTCCTCTCTTCTCTATTTTGTGCTTATTTTGGTTAGTTGGCATTGATGACAAGGCCAACTTTCATTTGAGGGGGCAACACTATTTGGATATTTGGATGATTGTACATATGGTAGTATTTTATGCTTTCTTTCATTTTTTTTATCTTTGGTATGTATATAATTTTAGCATTTTATTGCACTTTTCGTATTTTTTACTTTGGGTCTGTATATAAAAGTTATGTTCTTATGTAAATATTCATTCCCCCTATTGTGTATTCGATTAAATTCCCTCTTGTACATATTCATTTTACTTTCCACATTTTTTCTTTCTTATCTTCTTATTTTTTGTTCGTAGCTTCTTGTTTTGAGTTTTTGCAATAAGCCTTTGGTTTTATTAATGCCACGGTTCTTTTCAAAGGTGGAATTTGTGTGAACCGGGTGGCTCCTCCCTATGAAGGATGGCATGACAACCTTTTTAAGGTTTGAGTCTGTTTTCCTTTTTGCTTTTTAGTAGTTAGTTGGTAAGGGTGCCTCAAGCAAAGCTTCACTTGGGCCTAACACATTTGTCTTTGATCCTATGGTCAAAAACAAATCGATGTGTATAGGATGGTGAAGGTTGTGACCTTGAGACTCTTGTATTGGCTGATAATCATCAAGTGATTTTTCGGGACCATTGTGTACTCAAATCTTATCTAAAGTTGTTGTAGGCCCCCGACTCTGTGTCTTTAGAAATCCCATATCAGTGTGGTGAGAATTTGAATTACAAGTCCAAGTCCCGATCCATTGGTCTAGAACTTGCCCTAAATATTTGTCTAGGAGAAATCCTAAGTGTAATTTGACTTAAGACATAATTATAGGCTCTCCTTGATCCGAATGATATCTTGAACACTTTCATAGCCTACCAATGATAAAATCCCTAGTCAGCCCTTTTGAGCCTTAGACCTTTTTCTTTCAAGAACCACGGTATAATCCTTTACCCGTTCTAAAGATACCCTCTCTTGGCACCCGATCTTTCCTTAGCGCATGGCAAAAGTATAAGTTTTGGGGGAGAGACGAGGATTGCAACAAAGTGGTAAAAGATACAAAATGAAGAAAAGGAAAGGCAATGAAAAAGAAAGAAAAATCAAAAAAACAAAAAGAATGTTCATTGTAGAAAAGAATGAAGGGATTCAATAAAAGTAAAGAATGAAAGGTGTGGAAAGTTGAGAAAGGAGAAAAGATTTGAAATGAACAAGAAAGAGTGACAGTGTGTCTCTCTAACCCCTTAGAAAGAAGTGAAATGACTTAAAAAGTTAAGTGAAGGTGTGCCAAAATAAAGAAAAAGAAGTGCTAAAGGGAAGATGGAACCTACTTAGACCAAACAGTCCTACCCTAAAACAAAAGCCTTCACTATGTCTCCACAAAAGCCGTATATGATCTTGAGTAGAATGAAGCTTACATTAGTGGTGACTCACATAAGGGGCAAACATATGGTACTTAGAGCCAGACTTGTGATTTTTCCTTGAGAGAGATGAGTGTATTTCTATTAACCTCGTTCTGAGTGCTACTATGCTAAAGGTGAGTTTGCTTAGGGAGAGTCGAGGATGTGTGAGTTTGGGTTCCACAATGGCCAAAGTAATAGAAAGAATTTCTTTTTATGTGTTGAGTCAACTCTTGATACTCTTGCGTCGCACTGAATCCATGGTGTTTAAAAGAGTGAATGTTGTTAATGATTCATTTGAATTGAGGGCAATTGTTAGTCCCAATTGATGCTAGATGAGGTCACTTTAGGTCAGCTGAATTTTCTTGGATTGACTCTTAAGGGGTGGGTCTTATTTTGTTTGCTTGAGGACAAGCAAAAACTTAAGTTTGGGGGAGTTGATAACTAGGGATTATGATGCATTTTACACTCCTTCGTTCTTAAGTTTTGATTAGAAATGTGTACAAAATAGTCCCAAAGGCTCACCTGTTGTACTTGATTGCAGGGTTTGGTCAACAAGGTGACAATTTATCAAAACCAGCTCAAAAAGGAGTGAAACATGCACAATTACTAAGAACAAGGTCAAGCTCAGTATAACAGGACTAGTGCGGCCGCACACCATTCTGTGCGGTCCGCAAAGAGGAGGTTCAGAGAGTGTGTATTTCAGGCAGCTAAGCAATGCGGCTGCAAAGTATTTTGTGCTGACCGCATTGACTTCATTGCAGCCACACTCGATTTTGTGCGGTCCGCAAAGCCCAAGATCATAGAGTTGCCAAGTTGGAGGAATATGTCTAGTGCGGACCGCAATAGAAGCCACCACGGCCGCAGTGCATTTTGTGCGGCCCGCGGTGGCCAATTTCAGAGATCAGATTATTTCAGCCAAGAGCCTCAGTGTGGCCGCACTCGATTTTGTGCGGTCCACACTAGCCCTGCAGGGGTATTTTTGTCCAGAATTTTTGGCCTAGTATAAATAGTTTATTTTCCCGTTTTTAGGTTATGAGTTGTATTTTGACGAGGAGTTGCGCTCGTGAACAATACTTCTTTTCTATTTTGAGTAATTTTAGCTTAGTTTCATCATTGAATCTTCCAGTTTTATCTAGTAATTAAATATTATGGGTTTTTCTTCATCTATTTCTTTATTTTCTTCTATAATCATGAGTAGCTAGACCCATTAGCTAGGGTTGTGGCTCAACCCTAGTGTGGGTAATTGATGGGTCTTGTGTTTTAAGACTTGATTGTCTATAGGTGTTTGATATTTGGACAAATATAGGGTTTTAATGTTGAATTAATGGTTGCAAACACTAGTTTATGCCTAGTTGACTTTGGCTCTTCCTAAGAAAGAGAGCCTAAGTCTATGAAATTGGTCCAACAAGGAATTGGAGCATATTCAAGAGATTGATAGCCCCAATTAAAGGGTTAAACCTAGAGATAGTAATACCTGACTTGAACCTCAATAGCTTGCACAAATTATCATACCCAATTGGTCTTGAGAAAGTCAATTAGGGCAAAATCACTCGAATTACCAAGAGTATAGAATGAGTAGAATCGTGCAATGGTTATATCGTAATCCCCAAATATGACAATCTAGCCTTAGACTCGAGAATCTGTCAATTAGCTACCTAGGAGAAAGTCACTTCCCTAGTGCCTTTTACCTATTTAGACAACCTTCAATAGTTTATTCTTAGTTTCACTTAGCCTAATTTAGCATCTTAGTAGTATAAAATTAGAAGTAATATCAAAACCAACTATGAATATACGTGCAATTAGGAACAATTATGCAACTCCAATTTAGATAGAAACTCAACTCCAATATCTAGCTCCCTGTGGAAATCAATCCCGACCTTCTCAGGTAAAAGCTGCTTCGACCACTCTTGCTACTTGTAGTAGTGTAGGGTTGGCCTCGATCACTCCGCTAGACCAAAGGGTAAACACTTTACCCAATGCGATCCAAGCAGCAGAATGCCTTGGGGACTATCAAGTTGAAGCTCGAATGGATAGGCCTCAACCGCCTATCTGTGGAGGATGCATAGGGGGCCAGCCTAGCAATGGTGGCCCTAGCAGGAGTGGAGGAGATCAGAGTGCAACCAAATCTAAGACTCCTTACTCAGGTAGAAATAGTGTTGCATCTCATAACAATGATAGGGGGAGGAAACCCTCTTCAAGATGCCATCATTGCAGCGGGCCATATTGGAACAATGAATGTCTATAGGCACAGATGAACGCCCATCAAATTTTTGATAATGGGATGGATGACAACTCAGATGATGTTGACCAGACATAACCAATAGGTACCTTCAATGCACTTGTTTGTTCTATTTCTCTGGCCTTAGCAGGAACCAATGCTAGTATGCGTAACAAGAAGGACCCATGTCCAACCACCAAAAAAGGTATAAAGAAGGCGGATGAGGGGCCTCCTATGAACCAAGAGAAGACCTTGATGTTCATTGATATGAAAGTTAATGGCCAGCCCATCCGAGCAATGATATACACTAGCGTTACTTACAACTACTTAGCCTCAACTAAAGTAGAGTGCCTTGGTCTAATTGTGGGAAAGGGAAGAAGTTATGTCAAGGCTATCAAGTTACCGCCTCAGCCAATGGGTGGAATAGCCAAAGGAGTGCCAGTGAAGCTTGGTCCTTATGAAGGAAAATTCAACTTGCGAGTGGAGATCATAGATGGCTTCGAGCTGTTAGTTGGGTTGGAATTCATAAGGCAAAACAACACCATTCATGTACCTTATGCGACATGCTACTGATGATAGGAGCAAATAGGGCCAAGACTTGTATTATCCCATGCACAACCATCAAGATAGACGCTGAGAACATCTTGGTTTTGCAGTTGAAGAAGGGAGTCAAAAGACATGAACCTCATTCCTAGCTACCCTTTGTATTGAAGATATAGAACACTCTCCGGGTCCCATCCTTGCACCCGTGGAAGAGCTGCTAAAGGAGTTTGAAGATATCATGCCACAAGACATGCCAAGGATACTCCCACCTAGGTGCACTGTGGACCATGAGATTGCGTTGGTGCCGGTTGCGAAGCCACGTGCTCGGGCGCCTTACAAAATGTCACAACCCGAACTCATTGAGCTTTAGAGACACTTGACGAAAATACTAGAAACGCGGATTATTGTGCCCTCCAAGTCTCCTTATGTGTCCCAGTGCTATTCCAAAAGAAATAGGGTAGCACCCTATGACTCTGTGTGGATTATCGGGCACTAAACCAATCACGGTGAAGAACAAGTACCATATCCCGCTAATGGTAGACTTGTTCGATAGATTGGGCGGTGTTATAGTGTTCACCAAAATAGACATGAAGATAGGTTACTGGCAAGTCCGAATTACTGAGGAAGATGAACACAAGGCGACCTGTGTAATAAGACATGGGTCGTACGACTTTCTGGCCATGCCATTCGGCTTAACTAATGCTCCAGCCACATTTTGCACCTTGATGAACCAAGTCTTCCGATATTACATTGATGAATTCGAAGTGGTCTATTTCGATGACATTGTGGTATATAGCAAAATATTGGAGGAATACTTGAAGCACCTGCGGAAGGTCCTAGCCCGACTGTGGGAGCATAAATTATATGTGAAGCTATCCAAGTGCTCATTAGGCCAAAAGCATATCGACTTCCTCCGACATGTCATCGAGGAAGGGCGGATAAAGATGGGCCAACGGAAGATTCAGGGTGTCACAGATTGGTCGCCACCTAAGGATATCAACGCCTTAAGGGTGTTCCTTGGCCTATGCAACTTTTATCGGTGATTTGTGAAGAATTATTTACTCATTACAGTGCCATTGACAGAACTCCTAAATAAAGTCATGCTTTAGAATCGAAGTCCCATACAGGCGGAGGCCTTCAATGCATTGAAAGCGGCTATGTCTAGTAGCCCCATCTTGGCCCATCCTAATTTGGCCAAGCCATTCAAAGTACAAAAGAATGCCTCTGACTATGCTCTAGGCTGAGTCGTGCTACAAGAGGGGCATCCAGTTTCATACGAGAGCCAGAAGTTAAAGGATGAAGAACGATGCCATGCCGCCCACGAAAAAGAATTATTGGTTGGGGTCCATTGCTTATGCCTTTGGAGGCACTATCTACTGGGAACCCCTTTCATGGTCAATACGGACAACACATATGTTAGCCATTTCATGACCCAGCTAAAGCTGAATGGCCGCCAGGCCAGGTGGCAAGAACTCCTAGCTGAATTTCACTTCAACCTGGAGTACCGAAGTGGGAAGACTAACCAAGTTGTTGATGTGCTCAATCGAAGGGCTGACTTAGCATCGGTGTGCCTAATCGATACCCTAAGGTGGAGCGAAGTGTCCACCACTATAAGAGACCATATACAAGATCTACTCCCAAACGATCCTGCTGCATAGTATTTGGTCAATTTGGTACGACAAGGCAAGACTCGCCAATTCTATATGGAAGATGGGTTCCTGAAGGTAAAAGGGAACCGACTTTATGTTCCTAAAGGAAGAGATTTGCAAAGGACTCTTCTGATGGAATGCCATGACTCTTTGTGGGCTAGCCACCCAGGTGAATAATGTACCATAGCGTTGTTACGCCGTGCTTATTATTGACCTCAAATGGCTGATGATGTTGCTCAGTATGTGAAGACTTGCCTAGTATGCCAGAAAGGCACATTAGACCGCTTGACACAAGCGGGACTTTTGGAGCCACTGCATGTTCCAAAGAGACCTTGAAATGGGAAAGCTTTTCACTAGATTTTATTACTGAATTGCCCAAGGTCAGAGATCTTACAACTTTATTGGTTGTGGTGGATTGGTTTTCCAAGTATGCTACACTTACAGCAGTCCCACAATATATGTCAGCAAAAGATACAACTCAACTCTTCTTCTCTCATGTTATCAAATATTAGGGTCTGCCTAAAGACATCGTTAGTGACCGCGACTCTCACTTCACTAGCAACTTTTAGACTCAGCTCTTTAAGTGTTTCGGGTCCAAATTGAGCGATAGTTCAAGTTTTCATCCGCAATCTGATGGCCAGACGGAGCAATTCACTGGCATGCAAGAGGAATATCTCCGCCATTTTGTTACCGGATCGCAGAAGAATTAGGTGAAGCTTCTGGATAATGATCAATTGTGTTTCAATTCACAAAAGAGCTCTAGTACAAATAAAAGCACTTTTAAAATTATTATCAGACAGCAACCGCTACTCCCACACACTGTGAGTGCCCGAAACATGTCAAAATCTCCTCGAGTTGCTAGCTTCTCGAAGGAATGAAAGCGAAATTTTGAGATAGTGTGCAACTATCTTGTCAAAGCCCAAAAGTGGATGAAGAAGCATGCTAATCAAAATCGTTGCTTTGTTGAATACCAAATTGGATACAAGGTGATGGTAAAAATCCCAAAGTGATACTTGTTTGCAGAGGTCATGACTCTCGCCTATTGCAAAAATACATTGGATCCTTGTCCATTGAGAAACGCATTGAAAAAGTTACATAATGGGTGGATACCCTAGCCTGGTGGAAAATTCATCTAGTCTTCCATGTCAGCCTTCTAAAACCTTTTCGGGAAGACAGTGGAGGATCGTTCACGTAGCTAAATCACAATACCCAGTATTCGAGGTCCTAATTCTGCGGGGAAAAGGCGTGTATAAGTTGTTTTCGATGATCGAGTGGTGCAGCTTCAAGGAAAGATCACTAAGAGTTCTTGGTGAAATGGCAGGGCTGTGATACAGAGAAGAATACTTGGGAGAGGGGAACAAACCTCAAAGCCTACAAGATCATGATCGATGGTTATATTTCCAGTAAGGCGTCGAGGATGTCGCCAACTCAGGTGGGGGAGAATGTCATAGGTGGCTTTCCAGCCATGCTCCATGACCCCTTGGACGTGCCTCATGGCGTCCTGGCAAGCCTCCCAATGCCTAGCGCCATGGACGGCCCATTGTCTTGGCCGCACCAAGTGATAAGTGCACATGTGCATATGTCGCCCCACCGATAGCCCTCGCCAGCGCCCAGCCGCAGGCAAATACCAACAGTGTCGCGCGTGCAGACAGTGTTGCATGCGCAGACTTTGATGCTAAAGACAAGGTTGCTGCCAAAGGACCTGCTTCTACCTTGTAGGAATCTAAGTCCTTTTCATTGTAAATATAGAGTAGTTTTATTTCATGTATTTCCATCATGCCTCTCTAGCTTAGTTAGGTCAAGTCCTATAACTTTGGTTTATTTTTCTTAAGCATTATTAGGGGGGATCAAGCAATCATACTTTCAAGCAAACAAGCAATTCTCTATACTGGTGTCTCTCCCCCTCGACACCGTGTTGCTTTTCTGTAATAGCTTTCGTTAATGCAATTAAGCTTCTTTCATTCTTAATTCTCTTTTTTATTCTCTCAATTGCTCTTGACATTAGTTTTTCCGTATGACACTGACAATCTCGTCTAGCGTACGGAGGGGACCCCAGTTGGCGAATAGTAATTGCACAGACATCTATTGCTTAGCCTTACGTCGCCCTTCTAAGGAATCTCAAGAAGGTGATGCGTAACAGTACTTACTAATCATTGTTGCTAAGATCTTTTTCCCTTGATATTTGTTGCTAGATTTTTGCAGAATTTATTGATTCATAAATGTCACCCTTTATATGCTAACAAACATAGAATTAATGTATGTAAAGAAAAATGCCTTTTAATATTGTATCCCATGAACAAAGTACTGACAAAAAAGTGTACTAAAATTTTTAGATAATGTCAAATTAAAAGATTTGTTCTACATTAAATTATTCCTAATTCGAATCAACTCCCTTAACCTCCAGAATAAATTCTGCAACAACTCTAGCAACAAATATCAAAAGGAAAAAGTCTTAGCAACCATGTGAGGAGTTTTCATGTAATTAATCCGGTTTGTTGCTTCCTTACGACGAATGACGATTAAGAGTGGACCCTAAACGTTGTATTAAAAATTCATTAAATCAAATGAGCTTTGGTATTATTCTTCCTTTTAATAGGACTTTGAGTAATTATTCAGATCTTGTTATGATAAATATCACATTATGGTGGATGTCTACTCTTCTTCCATGATCTTCATCTCAAATGCTTAATGACATATTCAATGACATATTTTGTATGTTCAATGACATATTCCATGACATATTTTCTTCACTTTTTATGCCTATATAAAGGCCTTGTAATAGATAGGAAAATACACACAATTGAAGAAGAAATAAGAATCTCTCTTCCTCTCTTTCTATCTATATCTCTTAGTTTGTTTTGCTTGTTCTATATTGTTATTTTGGGTTATATTTTATAACATGTTATCAGCACGAGGCTCTACCATCTCAAGAAGATCTTTGAGAAAATTAAGGCATAATTTTTCTCAAATTTGTATTTTTTTAAAATGTCTGAAATTATGAAAAGAAAGTTCGTTGCCCTTGAAATTTCGGGCAAGAAATATATGACATGGGTATTGGATGCTGAAATCCATTTAGATGCAATGGGTCTTGGAGACGCCATTAAAGATAAAGATAAAGCATCTACACAAGTCTGTGCTAAGGCCTTGATTTTCTTGCGCCATCACCTTGATGAAGGGTTGAAAATTGAATATCTCACAGTGAAATATCCATTTGTTTTGTGGAATGGTTTAAAGGAAAGATATGACAACTTAAAGTTGGTCACTCTTCCACAAGCACGATATGATTGGGTGCATCTTAGGCTCCAAGACTTTAAGTCTGTTTCTGAATATAATTCTGCTATGTTTAGAAATACTTCCAAATTGAAACTCTGTGGAGATAATATCAGTGACTATGATATGCTTGAAAAAACTTTTACAACATTTCATGCTTCCAATATGGTCTTACAACAGCAGTACCGAGAGAAAGGCTTCACAAAGTACTCTCAGTTGATTTCTCTTCTACTTGTGGCTGAACGAAATAATGAATTGCTTATGAGAAATCATGAAAATCGACCCACTGGGTCTACACCATTGCCTAAAGAGGATGAGGTGTATTCCCATTATGTTAATCGTGGAAAAGGTCGTGGCCATATTCGTGGTCGTGGTCGCGGTCGTGGTCGTGGCCATGTCCAAGGAAGAAATTTTCATGGTGTTAATCATCCTCCACCGAAAAATAACTTCCAAAAATGGAAAGGTAAAGAAGAGAAGCGAAATGCAGAGGGTTCAGAAACTAAATGCTATCGTTGCGGTGGAAAAGGGCATTGGGCAAATATTTGTCGCATACCAAAACATTTGGTTGAGCTTTATCAAGCATCTTTGAAAAATAAAGGCGCTGAAGCCAATCTTGTCTATGACAATGAATTTGACATCACCCACTTGGATGTGGCAGATTTTTTTGAGCACCCTGATGAAAAAAATAAACCACTTGATCGGTGATGGATCTGTGGTTAGAGATGATTGAGCAATTTAATTTATGCTTTCCTACTCGTAGTATGTAATGAATAAACATCTCGTAATTTTTATTGCACTTTATAATTCTTCTTATGTAGTTCTTAAGAATATTTTTATTTCCGAAATTTTATAAATTTCACAAACAAGGAGTAATATCCTATTAATTAGTATTCTAGTCTCAGTGATCTTTTAACAATTTTAACTTTCCTTTACGTTGCTTTAATTCTCTTTAAGAAAAGGTTTACAAGCACCCTGGAACAACTTTTGTTACTTCACTCTCAATTTTTTTTTATGAGTATGTTCTTTTCTTACACGGATCAATTATTTTTCATACAATGTGTAGGAAAATGCAAACAATTTATACATGTAAATAAATTTGTTGTAGTTGTATTAGTTATATGTGT